TTGGTTTCCTAGCCGCATAAATTGCAGGAAAGTGTAGCCAAGGCACTCAGTTGTGAGTCCATTTGCAAGATTTGTAGAGCAGAAGGACTGAGCTATCTGTGGGGATATTAATTCTCTTCCCTACCCATACACTGGGGACTTGGTTATCAGTTTCCAGGTGAGACAGTCACCTCAGGGATCAAATGTGGGTTTATGCCACCTTTGTGTCTCCCTATAGTCTCAATTTTAGCCATGAAGGGTTAACTCCTTCCCTGCCAATCTGGTACTCATTATACTTGCAGTCAAAAAAATCTGAGGCAGCTACACTTGTTTTTGATGACAATATCTGATACAAAAGATGTTTAGAGTTGACACCTCTCACCTTTTTGAGAACCCACATTCCTTTTTGGGATATTGGAGCACAAGAACATTAGCCATCCTCATTTACCTTTGGGAGAACAAGGCTGTCCAGGCAGAACTACCTTTTTAAACAGAAAGGTAGCCCCATAAATGCATAAATAGTTCCTCTTCTTCCAGCTTGGGGGTGGGCGGTGGGGGGACCCAAACTTTTCCAAAGTACTCAATTCAGTTAAGCCCTAGGTATTTCACATGACGATCAGCTGCACTAGAGAGATTTATGATTATTTTGGTCTTCGGACTCTATCACAATGAGCCTTATGAGCCTCGTACTATAGATTCACTTGGAGATCATTTTGCAAGCTTTTTCACTCAGTCAACATGAAAAGAGCCAAATAAAATATGACTGTTTCAGGTAATAATCTTAAATTACAGAGGAGTCATAACAGACTCTAAGAACTAGTGTGAGTTCTTCATTCAAGTAAAACAGTAGCCTGGTGACCTTATGCACAACACATCCTCGTTCTCTTAGGGTAGAGGAATATATAATTATAAAAAACCTGGAAGTAGCAAGGCTTAAATTACATTGCCAGGGCAGCTTGTTTCTAAAGGGCTTATTACAGCCATGAACCGCAAACCTGTGATTTTTTAAAAAAACATGAATTGATGTCATAATGAGGTTTAAATGGAGACTCTCTGTCTACATTGCCTCCCAAAGGAGAGGGGTTCCCCTTCTACCCTGGGCATAGTGCCTCCTTCTGCTGTGCCGTTTAATGCAAATGTAAACAAAAAGGAGAGTCAAATATGAAGGCTGAATTCATTTCCAACTGGCTGTCATGGATTTTCACTTTGCTCTCTTCACGGTTCACAAGGGCACCTTTCAAGTCTGGTTTATACAGAAGATGCTTAAAAGGGTACAGCCTACAGCAGAAATACAGCACTGATTGTGAGTTTGGAAACAAAGTCTCTTAGAAAGGCAATCCATGTGGAACCTTCATTGTAGAAATCTTTAACGCTACTGTTATTGGAGCAACTGAAAATAAAAGAGGAAATATCATATGAACAGCTGTTTTTCTACCTGTCCGGAAAACTAAAGTTTTATTATAAATCTATGTCTCACAACACAGAGCTGGCTCCAATGTCTAGGTAGCCTTAAGTGGTTGCCTATAGCAGCAAAATATTAGGGGCAGCAAAATGTTTAGTGATTGTTAATTGTATGAGTGTAGGCTGGGTGGTGCAGACATTTTCCAGTTTGCTGTGAGCAACAAAAACCCTAGAGACATCCCTGGCATCCCCAGATCTTACACGTACAAGTAAGCAATTAAAATGTGTAGGGTTTCCTAGGAAGGAAATAATTTTCAAACTACCAGTTCAACTGAAGAGAATAATGGAGGCCTATACCTTCAAAAATATCACAAATATGATACTGTAATGAACTGGTTAGTGTGTATGTGTACCGCTGTCCTCTAGTGGAATCAGAACTGCTCAGTTGTGTGTCCATCTACTAATAGGTAAAGAGTCATCACCTAGAACTTTTATTCGGGGAACATTCAGACAGGCACTTGTATTTGAGAAAGCATTTGCAAGTCCTGAAAGTGGCAGAAATTTAAGCACACATGTTTCTTTGTGCAAAAATTCCTGCCCTACAAGCATTATTCACTATTCTCCTTTCAAGTCATCCATTAGGGGTGCAGATACAATATCCTGAGGGTTTGGTGACCAACGGTAAAACACGGATAATGAACACTTTATCAAGAACCCATAACCAAAAAATATTTTCCAAACTATTTGGAAAATAATTACAAACCAAAACTAAAGTTGGAAGAAAGTCAGGAACAGTTTGTGAACATTAGCCAAAAAGAAGGTTCAATTTGCAGCTAATAATATTCATAATAAATAGACTGATCACCTTTAGGTATAACGCTGATGCTCCCAAGTGACTGCAAGTTTCATACTTGTTATGCTAGAAGATGTTCATGGCGGCTTTGATATAATTCAACCAGATTTGGTTAAAATTGATAGGTGTGCTAAGCACCTTTCAGGCTAAATGAAAGGAGAAATTAAATGCCCCTTTATATAGTGATAGCTAGGAACAGTAGGAAGCCACTGCCCAAGGCAATGGGCCATATGGCAAGGCTGATCAGATGTTAAGCTGTGTGGGCTGAGAGGTTTCCCAGGAAATGACTGCAAATGCAGGGGCTAGGAAACTAGGGTTGCTGTAGCTGTGTCTACACTACAAGCGCTAGAGTGGCCACTGTAGCATAGACACTTGCTACAGCAATGGAAGGCATTTTTCTTCAGTTAACCTAGCAGCATCTATACCAAGGTTTAGGGCAGATTAATTATGTCTCCTGAATGATGTAGCTAGGTCGACCCAAGTTTTAGGTGTAGACCAGCCCCGTGTGTATCTGTGTGGCAGAGAGGCAGAAAGCAATGGAAACAGTGGTAAGTGACCCTAGGAGCAGGCAAAAAGACACTTATAGGGATGGTATTCTCTGGAAAGGCAGACTTGGATTTCTGAGCATGGAATCTGCCTGCTGCTGGTTTTTTCTACTGTGTTCATGGGTGTGCTTGCAGAAATGACATTAAAATCTTATTCATACCTAACATTGTTCTGAAGTGGAGAGGGTGCCAGTTTAGCCAGTTTAGACCTAAAGACTTTAGCACATCTCTGTATGTATGATTGTATAGAACATTTTCTCAATGTGATTAGCTACCTCTGTATAAAATATTCCCTCATGGACAGTTCATTTATTCTCTTTTTTAAAAATAAATATTGGATGAAGGAAATTATAGCCTTATGGTCCAACTTTCAGATACCAGATTGAACAGTACAGAATGGATTTACTATTATTCTACCCCTCCCCCCTTGAATAACCCAGAGTGAATATGCTGGGCACTCTAATTTCTCTCTCTTCTCAGAAGCTGAAACCCCATAGGTACAGTTCCTCTGCACTCATTATGCATCTCCTGGGTACACAACTCAAACAAGAGCTACCTTGTGCTAACAGTGCATTGATTTGCTTGCACTCATCAAAGTGAAGTGACCGCTTTACAGAGGGAAATATTTTGCACTTTAGAATTAAAAAAATCTTCCAATAAAGTTGTAGAGATGCTAGATGGTTGCAGATTTTTTCTCTCCATATTTTAATACTGCTAAGCTGCCATACATTTATAAACAACCAGTAGAAGTTCTTTTTTCAACATGTAATTCTTTGGAAGAGTCATGGCTGAAGAGTATTTTTCAGGATAGTACATTGTTGCTATAAGCCTTGTCTTTCCTCACCTCATCCCCTTAATTTTTGTCACCCTCACTGTGTTAAGGATAATTTTTGAGCCCTAATAGTGCTATACTTATGGAGATCCAGTTGCAGGACTGAGGCCTTGAGCCCCAATCCTGCAAAGACTTAGTTTGTGCTTAAGTTAATAGGAATATTTGGGTTTAACGTTAAACATGTCAGTAAGTGTTTGCAGGATTTGGGTGTTAGACTGCTTGGGGGCAGAGAATCTTATGACATCTGTGAAAATACTCCCTAGGATACATAAAATAATAATTTTAAAGGAACTTTTTCTGCAGGATATTTTTACACATATAAAATGTCATACCTGTCCCGATGTTGATTTTTTTTGCCATGTAAAATTTATGGCATCTCAACTTTCTGTTTTTGTTGTTTTTTTAAACAACGTAAGTCTGCTTCACGGCAGATGAAAAATGTTATTTATCATTCCACCAGTAGGATTATTGGAAAATATGCAGATCTTAAGCCATCTATTACGATTGATTCCCCAGATTTCCTTCTCCAACCCTTTCTTCCTCTACCATAGAACCACTTTCCTTTCAGTTTGTTTGGTAATGTCTCCTCCTAGGATAGAAAATTACTGTTAGTCAGCCCACAGATAATGCCAAAGGGAGGTGTGGTTTGCACGCTCACTTTTTCTCTCCATAATACTAACTTGATCTGACTTAGTCAAGAACATTTCCAAGGTCATATCTACAAGCAAGTTTCCTGAACACAACTATGTGCAGGCTTAATACTAGTGAGCCAGTTAGATCACGTTTAATTTAATGTGACATGTTTTAGAAACATCTCTGAAGTAGGACTGAATAAAAATAAGCATTTGTGTAGAGTATTTTTCCTAAAATGAAATTCAGTTCTCAGAAGCTTCTCACTCAGCTTCCAATTTTTGCACCCAAACCACCAGAGGCAAGCAGTCTCAGCAGCATTTCACATAGTTGGAGACAGATGAGGATAGGCAAACTATTGCCTTCAGAAAGAAGAGAAGCAGGAAGAATTCCTAACAGCTAGAAGTTTCAAATTGATACCAGGTCTTCAACATGGAAACTATAGAAGATACCTCCCAATATCAAGGAGGTCATAAGGAATGAAGAGATATACAGGACATGCGTGGAATGCAGCTCAGCCCAACCTGTAAGAAAATCCATTTTACCTGCAAAGAGTTCTCCAACTGTTCAAGGCAGAGAGATGATCCTTGTTGGAGATTCAATACTGAGAAAAATCCAAAGAACATTCTGCAAGGGACATGTGGACAACAGGATGGTGTGCTGTCTTCTGGAGCCAAGACACATGATGTCACTCTAAAATTGGATAGGCTTCTGAAGCCAATGTTCAAGAATCCATTGGTGATGGTTCATATTAGCACTAAGACATTTCATCGGAGGATATCTTGCAGATAGTGGATTACTTCAGGGAACTTGGAAGCATGCTGAATAAGAAGAATGTTCAAGCCATCTTCTCTGAGATCTTTCCTGTCCCTCAAGCACATGAAGACAGAAAGCAAAGAAGATTCTGCAAGTGAATCACTGGCTAGGTAAGTGGTGAGTACAAGCACCCCAGATTCACTTTTAACTTGCATCTTCTTGTTAAATACTTGTCTTGCTATATACACATCTCTTCCATGCTCTCAGCAATGGGGTATTCCCTCTGATTCAGCAGAGAAGAGTGCAAGGTGAACAAGTAAAGGTGAGGGAATTATTGGACAGTAAGCTGGTGTGAGTGTAAGGTGTCTGTCTAACTGAGTCTAAGGGTATGCTGACATTGGAGCTGGAGGTGTAATTCCCAGTTCAGGTAGACATACCCACACTAGCTCTGATCAAGCTAGCATGCTAATAGCAGTGTAGCCACAGAGGTGCAATCAGTGGGATGGGCAGCCGGCCTGAGTACAATCCTGTCTGAGACCCTAGGTATGTACTCAGGCAGCTAGCACTTCCTGCTGCCGTGGCTACACTTCTAATTTTAGCAGGCTAGCTCTATCAGAGTTAGCACAGGTATGTCTCCTTGAGCTGGAAATTGCACCGTCCAGCTCCTGTGAAGACGAACCCTAAGACAGCCTAAGTCTACTTGATGTACCTGAGACATTGAGATGCCCAGATGGATATATACATTACACTTTTTATTCACCTCTATTCTCTGTCCACAGTTCTCATCCACCGGGTAGAAACTCTCCCACCATATGCTCAACAGGCAATCAGGAGGCCTCTGTCTGCTCCCACTAGTAGATCTGAGTGGGGCAGAGCAGCCAGGAGGAGGCGACAAGCAACAGTGGCAGCAGCAGCAGCAGCAACAAGTGGAGTCTACAAGGACAGAAGGTCAGAGGGGCCCAGTACTAGCCTGAAGCAGGTCAGTCCTGAAGCCAGGTGGCCTAGTGGTCAAGCCATGGCCCCACAGGTTTTTCAGTCTCTGCTCTGGAGAGGCCCTATCAGGTTGTGTACAGGTGGTCCCAGCCCCTCCCAGGTGTCCACTCTTCTCCCCTCAGGGTTCTGTCATGGCAGCGGGAAGGGGGAGGAAGGGATGGGGACCTGGGCCCACCCACTCCACCAGGTCCCACCTCAGGCCCCTAAAAGTGGGTTACAGTGTCCAGACCACTCAAGTGACACTCTCCCCTGGATCTCTTCCAACTGGGCTGGAGTTATTCCATTTGGGGTGTCGTCACAATCTTAGTAGTGGCAGTTTAGCCTGTCTGGGGAACAGCATCCCACTTGTAAGGGGCCTCTCTTGGCTCTTCCAAGGGATGGGGGAATGGAATGGACAAGGATCACCGCTTCCAGAGTGGCCTTACCCATGCTATCAGCCCTCTTCCCACAACACCAAATATTAGCCCCCCTTCTGGTTACAGCCTGTAACTTCTTCCTCCATTCCCCTGGTCTGTCAGTGCCCTTTAAAACTCTCCCTCTACCTGGCATATGCCCTGCAGTTGCTGAAGGGTGGGGTCTCCCTAACCCAGTACTGCCACATGCCTTGCTCTGGCTTAGTGTGGGGTCTGTAAACCCCATCACATAGCCCCAGTATCCCCCCAGCAATCAGCCATCCACCTTTCAGCAGGTTCCAGTTTCCACCCAGCCCTCATACACCCCACCCAGATGTGCCCCAGACAACACCCCCATTACCCTCCGCCCAATAGTCAGCTGTTCCCAGCTTCTCCACCAAGCTATCCAACTACTCCTCTGGACACTCCCACAAATCCAGCTTCCTTTAGCTACCCCGCTCCCAGTTCCTTCCAGCCACTCGCTCCTCCACTGGATAGTTTATAAAGAGTTCACCTGCAGTTCTGCTGCAACCCAATATTCTGAGCACTTGAAAAATACAAGTGGAATGCATACAAAGGAATTCATACAATGAGCACAGGCATATCACTAACATACACTTCCAGCAGAAATGAGAGAAATCATAAGCTGTATCCAAATTCTTTAAAATGGTGAAAAATGTTTAGATCATTAAACTACTGTGGGAACAAATAAAATGCAATAGCGTCAGTGTTACAAGTTCTTTTTACTTTTATATTCCTCATAAAATGCTATACAACTGAATATTTAAAGACTACCTACCAAAGATGTAATAATTCTGGGAAGCAGTAAGTGAAAGAAAAATACGGGGGAAATAAGAGTGCAGCACTGAGGAAAGATTAAGTTCAGGGGACCTGTAAGGGAGCCTATGTTGGTATAACTCCATTTTCTTCTGGACCTGTCAGCATGTATATTGTGTTGATAGCTCTCACAGTCTAATCATAAGTCTCAGAGTCCTTGATTTTCTTCTTAAAGCCCCACTTCCTGGAGTCATATGCAGGGCCAGCTCCAGGCACCAGCTAAGGAAGCAGGTGCTTGGGGCGGCCAATACAAAGGGACAGCACTCCGTCCGCTATTGGGACGGCACGTCTGGGTCTTCGTCGGGAATTCGGCAGCGGGTCCCTCAGTCCCTCTCTTCCTTTGAGCTGCCGCCGAAGTTCCGCTGAAGAGGAAGAGAGGGAGTGAAGGACCCGCCGCCGAACTGGCCGAAGAATGGAGCATCGCGATTGAGCTGCCGTCAAAGTGCCGCCAACCGGCATTTTTTTTTCTTTTTTGCTGCTTAGGGCAGCAGAAAACCTGGAGCCGGCCCTGGTCATATGATTACAGGAGACTCTCCGTTTTCATTTTTTAAGAAAAGGTAAGTTTCTAGCCCTCATGTTTGAGGAGAAAAGTTGAAAACTTTAACCCTGAACACAGAGAAAATAAGCATTTAATAAAAAGAAATCAACTTTTTTTTAAATCTCATGAATTTTGAACACATGATGTTGGCAATACTGTGCACATTATGCACTTACTGGTATGTAACCCTACAGCCCCATACGTACCACTTGTGTATTTGGCTGAGACTAAGGGAGTCAGTTGGTGTAACTGATTATTACTGTAATTGATTATTACAAAAAGCGATGAATCACAGAATGTGATAACATTGATGCAATGTAATTACTATTCTAATAAAAATATCTAGTGCTACTCTGCTCTGCATGTAAAGAGGTATACCCTACGGTCCCTCTCATGTAAAGCTTCATCTAATCTAAAAGACTTATCTATAGCCTCAGGTCTATTCTCACTATTCCATGCACTTTAGAGATGTAGTCTGAGAACAAAGGGGTGCATGATTAAACTCTTTAAAATAAATCTATTCATTTTAAAGTTATACTTTCAACTTGTTGGGGCCCTAAATGTCACATCCTTAGACTAAGGCAAGTGAACTCCAACAGGCATTATGTATTTTAATCTTATTAAAATTCAATAGTGTAGAAATCAAAATGTTTGGTCTTCAGCAGCATCCCAAACATTATATCGTTGGATCCACAAAAATGCTTTGCTTACTACATTATTTTAGTTTAAATCTAACTATTAGAATCTCAAATGGCATGGTCCTAATAAACATAGTTACACGCTTTCTATGAGACGTGAAATTTCAGAGAGACAAGGTGGGTGAGATAATATCTTTTCTTAGACCAACTTCTGTTGGTGAGAGAGACAAGCTTTCAAGCTACACAGAGCTTTTCTTTGGGTCTGGTAAAGGTAAATACAAGGTGGAACAGACAAACACTATGCTCTCAAATGAATTCACACAGAAAAATGATAAAAGACAAAAATACCCTATCACCCAGGTGCAAACACTTTTCACAGAACGATCACTCCACATCTGACCTCTTAGTCCACATCCTCAAAAGAAACCTGCACAACACCTTCAAAAGACACATCTGGGAGCTTAAAATCCTAACTTTGGTAGACACTAAAAATCATGGATTTAATAAAGACACTGGATTTATGGCTTATTACAACAATCTGTAACCCACTAATCCCACTTTTTTGTCCTATGACTGCAGAGGTATTAACTGGCCACTTCACCTTGAATGGTCTATTACAATATGTGTTAGCTGCTTATGCTAAACAATCTGTACCACATTGTATTTAGGCCTGGTCTACACTACAAAGTTATGTTGGCAGAAACCACTTTGCATCGACCAAGTAAAGCAGGTGCCTACAGTTAATTCTGCCCCTCCCCCCCGACATGAAGGCCCCATGACACCAACATAGTAATATCACCTCCCTGCGCAGCATAGATCCATGGTCGATGTACGGAGGTCAACACAGTGCAAGTGTAGACACTGTGTTACTTATGTTGACCCTAACAGTCCTCCAGCAGTGTCCCACAATGCCCAACACTGAACACTCTGGTCACAATTGTGAGCTACATTGCCCAAGGATTACACAGACTGGAAGCACACACACCCCTTTAAAAACCTCGTAATTTTTTGCAGTGCCTTTTCTTGGTTGTCCAGCTTGGCGATCACACCTCTATTTGCTCTCCGTTGTTGTGCACAACTGCCCAGCTGACCATGCCAGCTACACGCTCCAGACACGCTCCTACCTGGAGTAGACAGGAGATAACGGATCTCCTGGACTTGTGGGCAGAAGAGGCTGAGAAGGCACATCTCTAAACCAGCTGTAGAAACATCAACATCTATGAGCAGATCACTTAGGGGATGCGTGAGAAGGGATACAACAGTGACCAGCAGCAATGCCAGGTGAAAGCCAAGCAACTGCGGCAGGCATATCAAAAGGCCAGGGAGGCCAACAGTCAATCTGATGTTGATCCACAGACCTGCCGTTTTAACAACGAGCTGCATGCTATCGTTAGTGGAGACCCCACCACGACCCCACACAGCACCATGGATACCTCTGAGGAGCTTGAGTCACAGGCCCCTGCCATGAACAGCGAGGAGGAGGAGGTGGATGAGAAAGAGGAAGGGGACTATGGGAGACAAACAACCCAGGGATCCAGCTGCACAGTGAGCCAGGAGCTGTTTTTGATTCCACCACAGTCCAGCCAGTCAAGCACGGCCAAGCCCGATGCAGGGAAAGGAACCTTGGGTAACTATGCAAATAAATTTCCCAGTGCAGGGATGCCCCCCCCCCCGAAATTAGCAAGACACATCTTTCAATGTTTCATTAATTTCTACGTACTAGAAGAGGTAGTGGAACAAAGAGAGGTAGACTTGCTATCTGTTTTTCATTCCCCTCTACAGTTAGGTGGCAGGTGGTGATGTTGAGCAGTTTGTTTATTCATACAGGGATGTCCCTTGGATCCCCCTGAGAGACCGCAATGAAACCTCCATGGAGGCATTCTGCAATCCTCTCCTGAAGTTTTCTAAGGATGGCAGCCTTATTTAGGGTTACCATATTTCAGCAAGCAAAAAAGA